CCCCCGTCTACACACCAGTCGATGATTCCAGCAAGATCAAACTCTGCTCCCTCCACTTAGTATCAAAACAAACAAGTTCCCCAACTCCTAGCTTAATGCCCAATTTATGCCTACAAATGCCACATACGGCAATGGGCTCTTGTAAAAAAATTGCCCTGCACTTGTTTTCATTTTCCAATTACAAGTTTCTTCTTCTTGCCTTCGTCCCGATCGCAAGATATTTCCCATTCTCCTCTCATCGTAATCCCCCCAACCCAATCCTCCTTCTCAACTCCATAATTCTCTGTCTCCCAACGGGATCATCTCTATAGGCAGCCGCACCCAACTCGGCCAAAATCTGTCCAATTTGATCTTGCTGCACCTCGCCTCCAAAGACCCTCTTATTGTGCCTAATACAGTCCTCGTACCATTGCTCCGCTGAATACACAATGTGATTTGCGAGAACTATCCTATTTGCCCCAACGAATGGGTTGACCTCATTGTAAAACATTCCTTCTAAGATGTTGATTATTGTGTCAAAGTCGAAGGAAACACTGATAAACAAATCTGGGACCCAATTTGTCGGACCTGGATGGGCGTGTTCAGCTGCGTAAGTTTCGACAAGGGGGATGAGAATGCTAGGAGAGAAGACGATTTCGTATCCAGAAAGCTTTTGCGACATTTCACGGATAATGTTTACGATAGCTTCATAAGGACGTTCAGTTTGTGCTTGCGGGTCTTCTTCTACACGGGCCTGTATTGACTGTAGAAGTTGTTCCCACATAGTCCGGATATCAGCCTGGTTGTGATGATTGGCGGCTGCAAATATTTGGAGACAGATATCATAGTACTGGCCTTGGTCGGCATATTCATTGAAAAGCTAGAAGATGTTAGCAATGTGGAAGCACACGAGGACGGGGTGGGTGGCAACTTACGACAGAGAGCGGTTGAATGGCGCCGTCAAGATCTTGTACCACGGAATCTTTACGTGCTTGAGGAATTCTAGGATCGGCTCTCAAGCGTTGCAACAATTCATGTTGAATACTAGCGACGTCCAGCAATTCACCAGCCTCATGCAGCATGATTTGTCGCGCTTGTCTGTGGATGGCACCGCCTTGTGTTTGAGCATTTGCCTTGGCTCTACTTAAGTATTCGATTCTCCTTTGCAAGGAGATGGGAAGTTCACTCTTAGCCAAAGTGAGCTGTACACCAGCAGCGGAAGAGTAATCTTCTCGATGAACGTAGTACTTCCAAAGCAAGTCGGAATTCTCCGTGCTTTCGCTGGCAGTTCGCTCGAGATATTTGACAATGAACGGCGAGTCTGTGGCAATGATTCTCTCCGTCCAGCCTTGTTCAAGGTACCAATCAAATAGGTCGTATTGAAAGACCTCATCGTCAGACTCATCAACCACTTGATGTGCTTCTTCGCGCATTCTAGCTTGGGTGGTTTGTCTACCATCAACCATTTCCGGTGCGTTCCCAGTGTCGTTGTCGACAGCAGTTAAAATCTCCTTTACAATGTTATAACAGTCCTTGCGGAACTCGAAGAAACTTGCTCGATGGTCGTCGGCAGGCCTGCCATCATTAAGCCACGACAAAGCTTTGTTTCCACGATCAGATTCGTGAGCAACAAGTAGTGCCAGGCTGATTGCACCTGCGTAGAATTGATTGGCGGCAAATTGAGCACAAGCGCTGTACAAATTGTCATGAGATAAAACACCGGCGACTTCCTGAAATAATCGAACACTCTCATTGAGAAGTGCCCTTCCGTGATCAGATGAAGGTCCGACGCTGGTCGCTCGTTGCAACTGTTCTTGGGCCCTGAAAATAATGACATCGTCAGGACTACAGAAAGTACCACAGCGTCTTCTAAGAGCCTCGGCGACTGTATCAACATTTGAGCCTTGGGCAATATTACGATTCACAATCTCCTTTACCAACAATTTCGCCAAGTTCTTGCCATTGTCAGTAGAGAATAATAGTTCGAATGTCAGTTCTCGGAGTTGTTGCTTCGTTGTATCATCTAACGCAGCCCAAATATCATCGACTCGTTCCTCGAAAAACATTTGAACAAAAGATATTCCTTCCACAATGCTCGTGTTAAGTATTTGCAGTGAATGCAATGCTTGATGTTCGCCCTGCAGAGCGAGATCCTCCTGTTGACTTGTGACACGATTAAGACCCTCGGGCCCAGACAGCCCCTCAATGAACGTCTTGTTGTCCTCCAAGAACTTCGACAATTTCATAAGTTCATCCTGAACAGCAGCTAGTTTCTTCTTATCAATTGTTGGTTTTATAGCAACCACCTCCTTGGTAATTTCCATTTTTATGACCGGAGATTTCCAAAGACCACGGACCAATCTAGCCATATAGAGAGCAAGCCCGTCGTGTCTCGAAGAAGGCCGCACGTTTTCAATTGCTTGGGCTGGTCCCTCGACAACCATATTTTGGTCCATAGATGCACGTCCACCATGCTCAACGAATGCTCTCCTAGCAGCCTCAATTGTGTCTGGATCTGCTATCCTCCTCTCTCCAACTACTGAAGCATCGCCGCCCTGTCCACACGCTACGGCTAAAGCAGTCGCGGTTGTTTCCCCTCTACCATACTGTCGAATGAATTTCTTAATCTCTGTTTCTCCATCATCAAATCCACTTCGAATTGCAGAGGCAAATATGTCTACAAGTCGTCGGCGTCGAACGATATGAATACCAGAATTTGTCATAATTGCTATTTCCGGGGTTGGGAGATCATACTGAGTTGCGAGTTCATTTCCGAAGCCCAGGGGTTGATCTGAAGCAGCGAAAGGTTTTGTCACAAGACCAATAGCCTCAGCACGACTGCCCATCTCCAGCCAAAATGCCGATTCACAGTATCGCAAACCTTGTTGAGCGGCCATGTCTCGTGCCTGCGCTGCTATCCGACCTGTATCTGGAGCCGACAGAAAAAGAGCATCACTCCCATCACGAGTCTCCTTGGAAACGAAACAGAAGAAGAAACCTGGAGGGTATCGAAGACCTTTGCGTGTATGTGCTAGTGCATCAGAGCTTGTCTCGATCGCTGGCTCGAGTCCAGGATAAGGTCTAGTTCCCGGCCGATCAATCCTGGGTGGAAATCTGATGTGTTGAACCTGCATACTTTGTGGAGCTCCCTGGCCAGTTTGAAAACCGTAAGCATAACCCCGAGTAGCACTCAGAAACAAGCGGCATCCTGATGTAGTAGTAGCCATAAGATGAAGCTTTAGTCCTTCTTTTGCGGATATAGGACTAATCGAAACGATCCGCATATGAGACGATAAGAGGGGCGATGCCGAAATCATGTGAGAGATATCTCTCAAAATATCTTGTCGCTTCTTGTCAATGACTTGTGTCAAAGTGGTAGCGCTATCCATGTGGAATGTTCGAATGGTGGATTCGGAGGAAAGAGTGTATAGCAATCGACGGGTGTCATCCACAACCATATCCACCACAACCTCAGTCGTCGCGCGACCCCAAGGTATGGGTACCAAGGATGTATATCCAGGACTTGTGTGATTGAGCTTTCCAGTCTTATTTGAAAACCATTTGTCTTCATTTTGATACGTAAGCTCGTAGACCTGGTTGGCTCCTCCCGCGAAAAATATGCGCCCCGTGTCTGTTGATCCTTCAATTACTGTGACATCGAGTCCTCTGATGGAAAGCGTCATGCCGGTTCTGTAAAGCTCCAAATTTCTATTCCCATGCTCATCAACTCCGTCTGCGACACCCAACAAAATAATATCTTGAGTGGTTGCGACCACCACAATGTGCGTGATGGCTTCAATGAAGACTCCTTTGCGCGGTATCACCAGTTTCACAGCCCTGATACCATTTGGTTGGTCCTCGAATCCTCGCAATGTTGGATTTGGACTGGTATAGTCCCATAAGTATAATGCGTTGTCGATAGCTGCCCATGCATGATTTAACTCCGCAAAAAGCCCCATCGCTGTCCCGAAAGAAGCATTATTGTATTGGTCGTAAATCGTATCTGGAATATCGTACATCCTCATCTTTTGAAAAGGAACCCAGGCGGGATCGGAGACAGGAGATGGAAGTTCATAGTCAGACGAGATGCCCTCTGCGAAACTGTTAGCTGTGTCTCCTATGCAAATTCTAATGTAAACTCACGCTTGACATAGCTATCAAGATCAGGAAAGCTTGATTCTCTTTGCAGAACTTCGTTGATAGTTTTCGCAGCTCGTGAAATAGGTAATAAGGGTTGCGGTAAAATTTGAGGTTGATTTGGAGGAGGTATTGGGCCGTCTCGAGGTGGAGTTGGCTCACGTCCAGCATGCGGTTGCGGTGGTCGAAATAGAGGAGGTTGTGGGGGAGGAGGTTGATTGAATCTCGGAGGAGCAGGTGTCATGAAATATGTACCTGGTAAAGGTCTCTGTGGTGTTCCTGGAAGAGCCATTCTCTTTTTTTCTCCCTCTTTGGCTGGCAATCAACCAATCTTTAAAGAAATACTGTCGCGAGAAGGAATCTTGCAGAAGATGGAATTAGAGATTAGAAAAACTTCATGAAGAAAAAAGCGATTGAGCCGTGATGATATGACAATCTTCGAAGTTATGCGATGGAGGCAAATGATTGTAAAAATTCGAAGATGGATCGAGGGCAAGGTTTATATTTGTATACCTGCAGCTGTATATTTTTTCTGTTTTAGAGCTACAACTCTCTCTCTAGATGAGCCTCGCGACGCGGTCGAAGCTTCCAGGATAAATATTTATTCCAGGCACGTGACGGGATGTAAAAAACAATAGAGATTTGGTAGATTTAGATAGGGTTTCATCAATCTAGGTAACAAATTGAAAAATGATCAATAAATAAGAAGTACTCTAGTAGCTAAATATATAGGCAGGCAGGATAGAATAGCTAGCTATACGCCATATTTATGAGAGTTTCATCTCAACGTAAGGGCTTTCTTTTTTACAATTCTAGATTTGAGGAGATTATTCCCATTACAATTAGCTGCATAGGTAACAATAAATATAAGCCTTTCTAATGCTCAAGTTGTTCGAAATCTATCCCAGAATACATAGCGCTGAGCATCATGTCATATTGATATTGATTTTATACTCTTCTCATCTATCTCGAAAAAACCAGAGAAGATTTAATCTATAGTTCCTTCTCATGAGTTCCTTACTGTCATCATGAAGCCAATTCACCCAATTCCTAGCATAAGACATCTAGCAATTTGTGCATTTCGTTCATCCATCGCTCGCCTTCCACTCTTCGTTTCACTCCTCGTTTCACTCCTCAGCCTGATCAAGCTCTTTTGGTTTATTGAATCATGCCTTCTTAGCATCCCTTTCGGCTTTCTTCAAAGCTCTGGTTCTAATACTCTGGTGCATGCCTTTGTTTTGATCTACCACAAACGACCCTCCAACTCCTAAGGTATTCTCCAACCACCATTGCATTAACGCATGACCCCAAAATGGTGTACTTGTATAAGCCATCTTCTGAGCTCCTCCACTTCTACCAATCTTGGCCAGAGTAGTCTTGACAAATGTTCTTGGGTTCGGAATAAACATGCTGGTACGTCGAATCTTGCTCATTGCGGTCGTAACAAGGTAGCTCAGTACTAACTCGACGTCGACGCCTGTACCCTTAAGTTCGCCTCCGAGGGATGTTGACCATTGTTGTAAGAATGCCTTGCTTCCAGAGTATGTAGCCAGTAGAGGAGTCGGTAACCATCCACCAAATGAACCCATAGTTAAGATCAACCCGCGTTTGCGTTGGACCATTCCAGGTGCTACAATTTGAGTAACTCGAAGTGTACCTGTGCAGTTGATGGTAATGATATCTCTCATTTCCTCCTTTGGTGTCTGAATAAACGGCACTGGAATGCTGTGACTTTGTCCAACATTGTTGACCAAGATTCCTACATCAAGTCCATCAACAAGAGCCTTCAACTTTGCATAATCCTCATCCCTATTGGCAGCGAAATCCATGGCAAGAATCTTTGTCTGTATATTCGAACCGGCATATTTGGTTTGAATTTCGGAGGCAAGAGTTTGAAGTTTCGATTCAGTGCGGGAGACAAGGACAATATTGAATCCTTTCTGGGCAAGTTGAATTGCATATTCTTTGCCGAGACCATCAGAAGCACCAGTCACTACTGCCCAAGTTCCTTTCTTTCCGTACGTTCGAAGCTATTGAGAATATGTCAGTCAACTCTACCAAACTGCAACTGCTGGTACTTCAAGTATCAAGGATCCTTACATTCTTTCCGGATAGGACGAAAAGACTCAATAAAAGCTGGATGTAGCTAATGACTTTGCCAGCGACAATGAAAGCTCCAATACCAGCAAGTCCAGTAAGGACAGCCTTTGGCAGAATAGTATCGAGAACCATTTTGTCAATTGTCAATGAATTGAAAGAAGAGGAAGACGATTCCGAGAAATGTTGAGACCACCAGGACTTAGAAATACTTGGTGATGACTTTGGACTAAGTTTTGGTGAGGAAATCCGCTAAATTTCAGCCCGGCATTCGTTCATGATAACACCGAGTAGCCTCGTAGCATCTCACTATTGGAGATACTCGAGGCACTAACAATGTCTAACATGATTTGTTGCCAATAGTGCGGGACCACGCGAGCTTAGCTCCCAACCCGTCGACCCCTGTACAAGGCTGATCTTCGAACTTTAATTTTTGTTTACTTCGTTGTGCTGACTGGACTGAACTCTTCTCAAAGTTTTGATTTACATTGGCGTGATCCCATTATCGCGACACAAACGCATTCCAATCTCATACACGAGCGGACATCCAAATACGGTTTCTCAACATGAGTTTCCTCACTAGCCTCACCGCATACTTGCCTCAACATGAAGGTGTACTTCCCCAATGGCTTCTTTTCGTGAGTATCGCCGTCCTTTCCTCATATATAGTCTCAGCACTAACCTAACCCTAGATCTCCGTAACGTCTCTTTTCAACACCGTCCAATGCTATTTTACTCTCCACTTTAACTCCCAAATCTATAACGCCATCCCCAAATCCAACAACCCACTCAGCAAAGGTACCTCCCAATCCTACCCGTTAACCACATCTGCCACTCCTCTCTCTTCACGCACATTCGGAACATGGACTCTTATCACTGCGATCGTTCGTCTTCAAACCGCATATTATATTAGCAACCCACAAATATATCAATTGGGATATGCGACATTTATTGTTGCGTGGTTACATTTCATGGGAGAGTGGTTGGTGTTTGGCACTACGAAGATGGGCAGGGGATTAGCAGGACCAGCCGCGGTGTCAACGGGGACTTTGATTTGGATGTGGATGCAGTGGGGATTTTATGTCAGATGAGGGAATGGGATGAGGGAATAGTTGGACGAGAGAAAGAAGAGAAGAGGCTACATATAATGAGTGGATTTGGACGCAGTAGTTGAGACTGCATTCAAGGCATTTTGAGCGATTTTGGGTATGGTAACAACTATTGAGATCCTTCAAAAGGAGTCAGAGTTTTTCCCGATACTATCCCCTACTCGGTGTCGTTTTGAATGAATGCCGACCTCAATTTAGCTAGTGTATATCACACTAAAATCTGTTAAAAGTCACCTATTTCAAAATTCTATATCAATTCAATTAGAAAAAGTAAAGATATAAAACTCTATAAGTGATTAGATATTTAATTAAATTTTATATATATTTTTTCAAAAATAGGATAATCTTATTTGAATTTCGAATTATTTAAGAAATCAAAAAATCAATAGTATAGAAACAGAACTCGCTAATTTTTAGGCTTTAACTCCTTAAAATTAAGGCCTAAAATACTACTTTTTAAATCTAATTTCTTTTTGATTATTATTTCTTTAATATTATATTTGAAGATCTGAAATCTTGATATATAATATATTAATAGATTCTATTTTTATTAAAAAAAAGATTCAATAAGACATCTATATTGATTATATTGATATTGAATTTTGAAAATGCTGAATAACTACGAATTTGAGTGAAGAATTCGTCTAAATTTGAGGTCGGTATTTATTCAAAACGACACCGAGTAGACTATCAATAGAGAACACCTCGCTCTATTAACCAATCAGAACATCAGAAATTTGAGAATTCTTATTATCGAAATATAAGGTTTTAACAATAATTATTAATTGTTTATAATAATATCTTTTAAATACATTTTACAATTATTTTTCAATAAAAAAACTATCGATATATATTTTATATATTTATTATTATCTTTTTAACAAATTTTAAATTTCAAATTTAATATAAAGGCTTTTTATTATAATATCATTTATTGAATTATTAATAATTAAGCTCGTATATAAACTACTTAAGATATCCTAAGCCGATAGTCTAGGGGATTAGCTAAAGACTTATTTATTACAAACGATATTTAATTTATATAATAGAACAAGATTCGAATTTTCTTTAAGTCGTATAGATTCGTTTTACGCGAAATCATATACTCAAGATAGGGTTAGGATTTTTGATAATATATAATATCGTATATTCGTTAGTTAAATATAATACGTAATATTAATCAAATTATATTATATATATAACTAATTATAAAATCCTATAAAATCCTATAAAATCCTATAAAATCCTATAAAATCCTTTAAAATCCTATAAAATCCTATAAAAGACAATTTTGAAGCTATTTTAGAGCTAGTTTGAAAAGAAAATAATTAGTATATAAATTATATAATCAGCAAATAAATAACACCTGACTTTTAAATCTAATTATATACTAAATAAAAAATTACAACCCACTAAAAACTTTTTCTAAAAACGACCTACTTTCATTTATCCTGATGATTTTATTAGTTCAAAAAACACGTGTATAAGCTTGATATAATATTTTATATGCCTCAAAAAGTGTAATAATATGAAATTATATAATCAACCCTAAGAATATGTAATTTACTCATCCCTATCCCAAGGTATATGTTATTGTGAAATAGGCATTTTACTTCTTATCTTATGTTATAATATCAGATTTGTATTATATTCGGCTGTTAAAAGGCTCTTAAGTTTTAAATATATTTATTTTCAAGGTCGACTTATTAAGAGATCTGAGTAGAGACCAGCTTAATTGTTAGTTGTTGTTTTCTTACTTATTTCTTGTTTTCATCGAAAGATTTTTTTATAGGATTTCAGACATAAAAATGCCATTGTTTATGTGTATGAAATGCTCGCTGTAGACTCATTACCTTAGTCCTCAGAATTGTGCTCGAGATTGGCCTGCGGATCGTCAGAATCGTTCTCAGAATCGTCTGAATAGTTTGAATCGTCTTCAGAATCGTCTTCGGAGTCGTCGTCAAACTCATCGTCTGCATCATCTGCATCATCTGCATCGTCTGCATCATCTGCATCGTCTGTATCGTCGTAAGATTCATCTGGAACCTCGGAATCGTCTTCGTAGTCGTCTCCGGAATCGTACACTACACTCACTTTGCCGGTTTTCTTCACGTGATTTGTGGATATATTTCGGCATGCATCTACAAACGCGTTTTTAGATTGAAACACAGGGATCTCTTATCGATCGAATTGAAAGATACCTACGGAGTACCACTTCCGTCATTATTTCAAGAGGGAATCGACATGATTTAACAAATGATGACATGACATGGCGTGGCATGGCATGACACGGCATGATGTTTATCGCTTTCTCTAATGGCAATTGCCGTCCATTGTACATCCTCATCGATATCTTCTCCATTAATTAGAAGAAGTTACATTGCATGTATGCACTTTTACATTTCTACACCCAAACGACACTGTGCCACTGTTCACAACTGTCGCTATAAGGTTACCTAGCATCTCGGGTTTGATATCTCACCATACTCGCGATCTTATCTCATGGGACAAAGAAAAGAACTACCCACTATCATTCGAGTTCATTGCATTTGCATCCCACCGAACAATGCATAGGGTTGATTAGATAGTCTTAGATTGTTCTTACGGCTACCACCCTCCAAGGTGATCTATCGGATTTACTCCTAATTCAATATCATCCGACACACCCACGATTCTCTTATTTTCCTGATGCTTTCCTGCCCTCAAATTTCACAGGGACTTATCACTGAGAACTATTCGAAACCTCTGATGAACATAAGGGCTGAGTTTGTTATATATAGATTTGCTTGGCTTTAGCCAAAACAATAAACTTTTAATATACTATTTGACAATCAACAGTCGACAAAATGGTGAATAGTTTCACTGGAATTGCTTCAATACCTAATGAGGTCGGTGTTCCATTTTGACTAGCTCTATGAACTAGCTGGCTAACAATATCAAAGCTCCTCATCAATGTCCTTTCACTCTTTTCTACCCGTCGACTTCTTCCTCTCGCATGCACCTGCCATCGTTTCCATGATCTCATAATCCGAATCATACATCATCGCCTCATTGCAGCGGCGTCTTTAAAGAATCACAAGTTGATCCTTGAATGTTTTCATCCCTCTACGAAACTTATCACCCCATACGCTTTGTGCAATTATCTCGGCACAGATGGACTAAGTGACGACGTTGTTGGAGAGGGAGATATATACAAAGATGTCAACAACACAGGGAGGTTAGGTAAAATGGCCGGTCTATATTCGCGCTTTAGGCCGCTTCAGTCTGAAGAAAGAATACGACATCTGGCAGGTAGTGCTAGACCGACCCTCTTACCAGAATCTGAAGATGGGCTTGTATCTCAAATCGTCGATCTCGAGTCACATGAACTTTTCTCGCAACTCTGCACCATCACCAATATCGTTAAAGTTGGTCCGAAACGAGGACTGTTTCTAAGTTGCGTTAACATTGGTGAGGGAGTCATAAGAGTTTTTAGAGACTGGCTGTCGGATCGCGTTGAGGCGAATGAGAGACATATTGACAGCCCAGAGGAATGTGAAAAACGGCTCTTATGGACCGATACCGAGAAACATGTTGGATTGAAATTCAAAGTTTCTAAGTGGGAAGGAGCACCTGCTCCAATCCTGCTACACCGTGATGAGGAAGCTCCTGTTTTCTATAAGCTTCAATATGAAGGTGAGCCGTGTTTGCAAGAGATTGAAGGGGAAAGTGCTGATGATTTTCTTTCAGAATTGGTCCTAAGAACAACGCAGCTTCTCCTTCATGTCGAAGAATCATTGACAAGAGAAGTAGGACACTCAAGTAAGGCAATCGTGATAGGATCTTGGGGTTATTGATCCGGTTTTCACCTCGGATCACTTTAAAGAGTACCGAATAACAACAAACAGCGTGAACCGCAGGTACTTCATCATTTGAGCTCTGATTTCGAAAACTTACTGCAGTTCTGTGATTTACATGTTCTTTTGAAGGCGTCTATCAGATTTCAGTTCGTTAGAGTATGAATATATTGATGAATGCGAGTTATCCAAATATTGATAAGTGGGATAGCCTAAAGGGACTTTCTCAGAACGGACGGGTTTAGATGAGTTCAGTAAACTCTTCGTAGGAACTCTTTTAAATTAGATGGACATAGCCTTTTCAACGTTTTGCTGTTTGTCATTGTTAGTTGTTGTTAGTCGTCTTTAGAGTTATAAAAAGATTCACGGCTGTGACTAGGGTACAGAAAGTTTTGGCCTCAGCCCCTTCCCAATCCAACATCACACCGTTAATTTGAGGGATAGGCACCTATACCATGAGGTGCAGGTGGTGAATGCAACCTTGCCAAGCCACATTTGCGTTCTTAGGGTGACCTCGGGACATTGGTGTGAAGCTTTTCAAAGTAGAGCAACAAGAGTTTGTAATCCGTAAAGCTTATTAGATTACATTATCTGGTAGATACCTAGTAAGTACTGGGAGGGCCAAGGTCCGTGCACTTCTGTCTTCCAATCCCCCCACGTGCCCCCCTCCCCCATCCCCAAGTGTGAATTAAAAAAAATCTCGCAATTGCAGGCTGTGCTCTGAGAGTCGAGATCCATCCATTCACGGCTATTTATAGTAATTCGTACCTCAATGCCAACCAACACAGCGTTCCTCTCGCTTCTCATCAATCACGTTGAAATCTCATCTCATCTATGTGGGTAATCTTAATCTATCTCACCTCATACTCAAAAATCGCGAGTGAACTTAAAAAATGACACCCTCTGAGACATACAAGATGATGTCTTTGTCGTCTTTACCTTCTGTATATTCACCTTTCCGAAATCACTTGACAACAACACTATTTTGACTTTCACCCCATTCCCCGCATTCTCGGCAATATATGTAGCGATTGGCTGCAATTGTAAGTTCTTGTACACCATCTTTATTATGTCTGAACGGTCTCGGGCATCACAATATCTGCAATAGAAGAGCAGATGATCAATTAAATTGCCTTTACGTGACGAATTCGAGGTATAACATACATTTATATCTTCTTGAGTTTTCTTCCGCACATCACAAAACCTTGTCAGATCTCTCGTTTTTCTTTCTGAATCTCGGTAGCAGGGGTATTAGTGTGCTCACCTTCCTCCAGGATGCATAGCAAAAAAAGAAAAGATGGATCTTGTGTGCCCTTTTCAAAGCCCCTCGCAGAAAACCCTTCAACGACAAACCGTTGTGGATCATGTCAATACCTTTCATCGGGCTAATTATTCATGCAGTGATTCAGAAGGTCTCCGCAACATGCATATAAACATCGAATCCTTTGCCAAAAATATTTCCCTCTTCCGACCACTCCCAGATTTCATTCCAACCTAAGCAAAGAAACTGTTTGCAAGATTGGAAAATGTTTAATACTTTAATATTCCTGACGCTTGCTGCCTGCTCATCTGCAGCTCCAGCACCGACACCATCGATCAACAAAACTGTTGATCTAGGATACTCAAAATATTTGGGAACTAATAATGGTAATGGCGTCACTCAGTGGCTTGGACTACGATATGCCGCTGCTCCTTTAGGAGATCTGCGATTTCGAGCCCCTCAAAGTCCCGTTGTAAATGATACTTTGCAAATAGCAAACAAGGTGTGCACTCTGCCCACTCTATTTATTCATCACTGACTTAAGGATTTCAGCATGGTGGAGTCTGTCACTCCTCACCTTCAACGTCGCTTTCGTCCAAAACAACCGAGGATTGTCTTTTTGTGGACATCTATGCACCCACCGATGCAAGCAAACTCCACCCTGTCTTTGTTTACTTTCAAGGTGGTGGCTTCAATACCCTTTCCAGCCCAAACTTGAATGCGACCAGCCTGATTGCAGCGGGTCACCACGACATAGTAGTAGTCACGTTCAATTATCGTGTTGGTCCTTGGGGTTTCTTAACCAGTAAGGAAGTTGTGGCGAATGGTGACACAAACGTTGGACTGAAGGATCAACGGTTCCTACTTGAATGGGTTCAGAAGAACATTGAACAAGTAAGTTTGCTCCAGTGTTTGGGCTCAATACGTCTACTATATCATATGATATTAATATGTAACAGTTTGGAGGTAATAAATCACATGTAACAATTGGAGGAGCAAGTGCGGGTGGGGCTGCTGTAGACCTTCAGCTTTCTGCATATGGAGGTCGCGATGATGGACTCTTCCATGCTAGTGCGGCCGAAAGTCAGTCTTTCGGTGCTCAACTCACGGTAGACGAGTCACAATACCAGTACGATGGTTTAGTTCAACGAACTGGTTGTGCTGAGCAAAGTGACACACTAGCTTGTTTGAGGGGGTTGGATATCAGCATCCTTGCCAAAAACAACATCAATGTTCCAACACCAGGTGGTGCAGGAGATGATCCGGTGTTTATGTGGTCTAATGTTATTGACGGCGATTTCACTCCTGATTGGACCTACAAGTTATTTGCCACAGGGCAATATGTCAAACTTCCTGCGATATTTGGGTATGCCTTCTTTACTGTTGCTCATCTATGCCAAAAAGACTAACACAGTATTCTCTTCATTCTAGTGACGATACAAATGAAGGCACAATATTTACTCCTCAATCCATTAATTCCAGGGCCGAAATGTCCAAATTTTTAAAAGATAATTTTGTCAAACTTACTGATGATCAAATAAGTAACATCCATGAGTACTACCCTCAGGGACCTCAATATCCAAACGCCGGCACATACTGGAGTGCGGCCGCTCTTGCTTATGGCGAGATGCGCTACAATTGTCCCGGAATCTACCTATCCGGCTCTCATGACTTCTACGCCCCATCAATTGGAAATTGGAATTATCATTGGGATGTTCTATCATCCACGAATGCTGCCAGTGGGTATGGTGTTACGCACACTTCCGAATCAGGTTCTATTTGGGGTAGCAGTGGACCACCAGATTCTTCTCTTATACCATCCATTCAGGCATACTGGACCAGCTTTATTAGGAGCAAAGACCCTAATACATATAAGCTCAAAAGTGCACCTAGATGGGGACAATTGAAGACCAGTAATTATCAGAGGATACTTTTTCAAGCAGAAAATGTTACAGGGACAGCCACTGCAAATGTTACAATGGAAACCATACCAGATGTACAGATGGCGAGGTGTCAGTACCTGTCTAGTATTGGTGCGAGCATCGGGCAATAAACTTATTATGGGGATTACTTGATTGAATCAATTCTTGTTGAATTTCTCTTATTCATTTCTACTACATACTTTTACACTAATGGATATTCGGAATTAGGTGTTAGGAAAACACCCTTGGCATGGTTTTGCATACAATGGCGTTTTGGATTTCATGGATATCTGGAAATTTCTCCTTTGGTACCAAGACATAGCTTATTAGCTTCCTGAATGATGTTCATTTATATCATGTTTTTATGCCTATTATTGGCTTGGGATGTGATCAAACAATTACATTTCATGCCAGGTCTAAATCAAACAAAGGATCATTGGATATCCCAAGAATAAGTTCGATCCAGAACTCGTGAATCTCCCCTTTGTCTATCTTCATTCCAGGAATCTATTTCCGCGCATCGTTATTGTCGAAAATCTCTTTGTTATAAGTAGCCAGATACCAATAACCGTTACCATCGAATGTTCCATTCATTCTGGTAGACGAGGCAAGTAGCCTGCAATAAAAATTACATACTCTTTCACACGTGTTATGAGGGGTACTGAACTCAGCTTTACCAATCATTCTCTTTGTTATTTATTTTGTTGTTCTACCTTCATTCGTAGCTCTCCACCTAGACTTCATTTTGATCATCAGTCGATGGCAGCTTTCAAATCTCTATCTACATTCTACATCTATGTCCACGTTTCCTGCCACAAGACAATCTATAAGCAGCATCTTTAATCCGCGTAGTGTGTAATCAATCTTCCGTTCGAACACATGCATTCAACAAAATCACACACACAATCTCAAACGCTTGACTCGCACAAATCATCCGTTCGAAGCTTCAAGTCACATCACAAACACAGACATACAATGTCATCTCACACCAACGCAAATCCCAGCTCCAGTTCGCCTAAACGCAAAATAGCTCAAAGCTCTTCTGATCGCCTCTCTAAGATACCTAAGCTCAAAGTGCCAGGCAACACCCCCACTGATCCCTCCCAACCAAACCATTCCCGCTCCAGAAATTTGCCGCAATCCATTTCTACCGATAACAAACATCATCGTCATCGTCATCATCCCGAACATCATCCGCATCATGGATTTATTCATCCACCTCACGATTCCACTTTGTTTTCCCCCACAAATACGAGCTCTTCTCTCCCAAACTTAACTTTAAGCGAAGGTGTAATTCCACCTTTCACATCCCCCACTGTCCCTCTCTCACAGAGCCAGCCATTCTCCGATCAGGACACACCGACCGGAATTGAAGACGCGGCGGGACTGGGTGCCCCGCCAAATCTGGCAAATGATTTAGAAGAGGCATTGATGGAAGAAGTTGAAAAAAATCCAGAGCTGGCACAAGGGCTTAGAATCGAGGATGTCGCTTCTCAGGGTAATGGGGGAAGTAATTTGACACCGGGAGAAGTGGGGTTTGATATTGACGTGGATATCATTCATGATAAAGACGAGATCACATGGGAGAGTGATGAGGAAGATGATGAAGGAGAACCTCCGACCAGAGAAAAGGACAAAGAATGCGTAGAATCGTCTGTTTCTTCCACATCCGATTCTCACCACTCATCTGATTCAGGATATGATGAGACGGCGGGGCCTCTAGTTTCGGATACAAATATGGACACAGGACCAGAATACGATGAGGGGTATGTGGAGGGCGAAGGAGACAACAATGGCGTTGAGGCCTCTGCCGAAATTGACTGGAATGATATGTCGAATGATATTGATGCTGATCCCTATGCTGTGGGTACGTCAAAAATACCAGGCGAAAATGATGTACAGATGAATTCTGGCGGTGCATACGGTGATTGGGATAGTGCGAACGCAGAGTGGGCTGGCGTGGTAGCTTTAGAGCCTGGGGGAGATGAGGCTGTGGACGGGTATGAAGGAATTGGAGATGGGGTGCAAAAAAGTGGTGAGGACGATGTCTGGTGGTTAAATGAAGGTTGAATGATATCAAATGGGTACACACTAGTCGAACTAGTTGGTGTAATATGAGATGGAAAACATTTTCCTTTTGCTTTTTTATTGGATGGGGAATCCATCAATCGGAGCTGGCAATGGGCTATATAAGAATGTCTTGGTGGAAATGAGCCCCAGTTGTGATTTGGCAATCTATTGCCTGCAAATAATGTGTATGGGTGGTGGTTGGGTTTTAGGAGGATGTATCTCCTAATAGGTCATATATCTATCATTAATCGATTTCTGCCCTGTATAAATCAGTCACTGGCACGACTACAAATTAAATAACCAAGCTGGTCAAGTGTCTCCTCTCATATGCACTAGTCCTGCAATCCATGCAATTATCGTATAGAGATAAGGAAAGGATAATGGATTTATGAAATATCAGTCTAGTTGAATGTCTAAACAAAAGCCACTCAATATTCTCGCATATCAAGAAGGTATAAAATCGTAACGGCTATAATATGTACATTTAATTCAACTTACCCGATCGCTTCATAATTTCACATGAGATAACCTCAACGAGCCCTACAACATCTCCCCATTCCCCAAATGTTTTCCCAACTTTGGTTTGAAAAACTCATCCTTATTTCTCTCCCCCTCAAACCCACCCCCATCATACCATTCCAGCATTTCCCTCCATCCCTCCATCCACTCTTCCAGTAGCCACCCTTGCGCAGCCCACAATTTCTCATGAACCACCTTCAATTTCCCCTTGTCTTCATCATGTGGAAAGAACCCTCCCCATTTCCTCTCCAAGGGTGTCACCGGAAACGCACCATCTTGTTTAAACTGCCATGCAAAGAATGCTTGATCTGCCATATTCGTATTATACATATTATATTTCTGATAATTTTGTAAAAACCTGTCATAAATCAATTGACTCGGTGTAAACACCATCGCTCCCACATTGATCTCCACCGGAATGCCGGGAAGTTGAGGCACCCCCGAGAAGACAAATTCTTCACCATTACAACTGGCTGATCCGTCAGGGAAAAGATCACTTGGTTCTTGCTTAAGTGCATTACACGATTTGGGAGCAACCAAATCAAACATCTCATCAATGTTTTCTAACGGAAAAGCATCTGCGTCTAAAAACAAAATCCTATCGAAATCCGTTTGTGCCCACATGTGTAATTTGGAAAAGGTATCTCTCCATCGGGAATAGATTGGTTTGTCTTCTCCATCCGCCAAATCCTTTCTACTAGGGTTCCAATCTAATGGCCCCAGTTCTCTGACGATAGCTCCTGCACCTGCAAGTAGTTGTCGTTGTTCTTGAGTAACATGGGAAGCGACAAACGTGATAAATGGATAAGAATGAGTTTTGGAAGACGATCGCCAAAGAACGCGATAAATGAGAGATTGGACAGCCATGAAATAGGGATCGCGAATTGAAGGATTGTGTGTATTCATGAAAGTTGCATAGGCGAACCTTGAACCCACTGGCATAGCGGGGTCATAATTGTGAGGCCATTTATCTGCGAAAATTTTGAGATCGACAGTCGGGAGAGGAAGGGAGAGATCTTCTTGGAAGGGATATTTTGTATCGTCGAATGCGGAGCTACTTTCTACAGTAGAAGTGGAGGAACCGGGAGATGAAGGGGGAGCTTGTGGTGGGAAATTGAGATTGAGGGGGACTTCTGCTGCTGCTGGTACTTCAGCTGGTGGAATGATTGAGTTTGGACTCGATATGACTCCATCGTCCGGCTTATGAAAGAGTCCACTATCTCCCTGCTGTGCCGCCCAGTTCAATTTAGCGCGATCATACGTTTCTTTTATTGTCGAATGTGATAGCCAAAGTATTCCGGCTATGACAATGAATAAACAAGCAAAGCTTAAACGGCTGCGTCGCATGATAGATAGGATTTCATGAATCGTTTATATTGTTGATAAATTTTGCGAAATTCCAAGAGAAGCCGAAAGGAGCTTTACCAACACCTCTCATGTAGATATATTTAAGAGAACAAAACAATATCTTGAAGAGTCGTATTGCGATTGAATTACGACCGAACTGCAGTTAAATCCATACCTTATCTATCTTATCCATCCGGGATATTTGCATCCCATCATATGCATGATGGTGTCACTGAACTAAATACTGTAGCTGTAAGCTTGGAAGCTTCAAGATTAGAGCAACATCGACCGAGGTACCAGGCGTGTTTAGGGCTTAGACTTACTTAACCGCCCCTGAAAGATTACGCCTATTGGTGGGCATCATGTTGGTCAAGCTTTGGACTTTATAGATTTCCTTTCATGTGCTCGCGATTTCAAATCATGATCTACAGGTTCCATGCTATGCATATTAATTTATGGTATCAGTCTTCTCCAGGGATATGTACAAATGTAGTCATGAAGCGTGGGGGGAGGTCAAATTTGTTTAAAAGCAGCGAAAGAATTTAATGACACACTCGAGACACACTCGTTATTTTCTTCTTCACATGAAAACCGAATTATAAAAGCTGGGGTAAGTTTGCGGGTCGGACTAGGTGGATAAGAGGCTCAGGGGTTCCCCGCAGGTGCAGATGCAAAAGCAGCGCTGGCTTCTGTTTGGTGCTGGAATTGCATATTGGCTTATATCTTCTGCCGATGGCCAAATACGATTGACGAATATCCTGAATTTGCTTTCTGGCTCAAATGTTCTGACGCTTCGAGTGTGTAGCTTGCGAACTTGTAGGAACATGGTTGAAGTTTTTGTTGATGTTACGCGAAATGGTCTCAGGGGTAGAGCTAGCTATGGTTAGGTAAATTCAGTTGTCTGGGTGGGAGAATCTTGCATGATATCAGCCTCTTTCAGTAGCCCCAGCATTAAATTATCACACTGTATCCTGACCTCAACCTTGATATCATCCTTTGACACCCAGACTAGTACCAAACACCAGTAACCAGGACGTCCAGCTCGACTATTCTCCAGCCAGATCCCGACTTCACCTCCTAATCACATTCGAACAAGTTGGGTAGTCCCCTAACTCTCTTCCATAGAAAGGACCAAATTTCCATATCCAGTGCCAAAACACTTCGTTACAAGATTGATAGTCGAAGCACTCCTTTCATCATCATCAACTGTAACCCGAGGTCTTGTTCCTGAGATTTCAGCAACACTCATTAAAAGTGGTTCAATCCAGTCAATTCCCTCCTCTGCATCAAATTTACTTCTAGCAAGAGGATTTTGCACGAAAATTTCGAATCGACTTACGTTCGCCAATAGCGGAACCCATAATTCGAGATTCATTATTGAATATTCTTTCAATAGGATTCGCCGCTCGCATATCATGTGTAAATCACGAATACGCTTCATATTACCGGCATTTAATATACATGGAGCGCTGTGGTTGAACCATGAAGGACTGTAAAAAAGTAAAGCGAATTTATTGTGCCCGTACAGAACGTCGAGAGCTTCATCACTGATCTGTTGGGACACGCGGAGGAGCCCGGTGGTGAGCTTTTCGATGTGACATTCGGGCAGCAAAATATGGGTTGAGAAACCCGTGTATATCTCACACTCCCGAGAAATGTGTATGCGAAGAGGACGGGAATTCCTCGCTGGGCGATATGGAAACTGTATTTCCATGGGTCTGCATTTGAGCAATTGCACATAAATCATTTGACGAATCTCAAGTGGTAGGCGTAAAAGACCGGGAAGCTCATTCTTTGACCGCGGTTCGTCATTTGAAGACGGTTCAAGCTTCGAAAGTGGCTCATCATTTGAGGGAGGAGTTTCTGCATCAATTTTGGTTTGACGTGCAACTAGAAGTTGGGGGTACTTCTTCTTCCAAAATCTGGCAATTTTGAAAGGCATTGAGAAGATGCCAGCCACATAAGTTCACGAGGATATAGTCAAAGGTGGATGTTGATATCTGTTCCTGGTGGAAAAAGAGGAGGTTGGGCTTATAAAGGACTATCACGTGACTAATGATTTGGCCATGTCCCTCTTTGACATGCGAAACCAATACTTTCAAGTGTCTTCCATCTTCCTTCTTTTCTTCCATCTAGTGAAATATTAACATCTGCCTTGTAGCGAATCAATTACACCATGGGCTAGAACAAACGACACTGGACCGACTAATGTAGACCTGATAAACATGACCTCGACTCGCGAACCCCAAGTTCTATTCGTATCATGTAACCTTACCAGCTGGACTCTCAAAGCGGACTCGAGTTATTCAGGCTTAAAATCTATCAGATTTACTCCTAAAATTACGGAATTTCATATTATATCAACTCATAATTCGCAGCTAGGCCCCAATCAACACAGCACGTCACATGAGTGACTCGTGACTTAGGAGGACTCGGTTGTGTTTTCTGACAGTCGCGAACAATGATAACTTTACCTTTATAGATGAAGAAGCTCCGTAATTTCTGCTTAGACATATTAGGTCCACCAGGTCTGTCGATTTGAGGGTTGATGTCGAAGTCGAACACGATCATAGCGTAGCAATGTTTCGGGTTTCAAACCTGCGTCTGAGCGAAATGGCCACATATTATGAGGAGATTCATCCCATCATCATCCGTTTTATTTTTCGTTCTTTATGTTTTTAAACTTGAGATTCATGGCAAGAATAGGTTTCCGGCTAGCGCTGGTCGGTGTAGCCGTCGGTACCATTTTCTATCAATTTATTTACAAATCATTGATTCTTAGCACCTTGGGATACAATCGCGCTTTAGAACCTTTCCTCAAATTCGATGTCGAATGTGAGAAGATTGATGATGTAGGTTTAGCTGGTTGTGCAGATATGTGGTTGCACCAGGAAAGTGGAATGCTCTATATGGCATGTTCAGATTCAAAGGGTCGAGCTGAGTGGTTTCCGAGGTATGCCCAGCACCATGTACTTTTTATTCTTACAAACTAAGTCCTTCAGTTTGAACCATCTAAATGCATCAGGCCGCAGTTTGTCTGATCGAATTGGAGTCCTGGATACACGTGGAGCTGGCCCGATTAAGAGTCGATTGACATGGCTCCAAACACAAAATTTTGAAGGGATGAATAACGATGGAAAACTTAATCTTCATGGATTTGATATCCGAGTGGATTCGATAAATGATATGAAGCTGCACATCGTTCTCGTCAATGATCGCCCTTTCGAAGACACTGGAAAAGCAGGTCCTTTCAACCAAACCCAAACGGATTCAAATAGTACGATTGAGTACTTTATAACCACATTGGGAAGCAAAACCATGACCCACAAGCAGACCTTTACAAATATCGACATTGAAAGATCTAGGCACGTGGCTTGGGTCGATGAGCATTTATTCATGTTCACGAATGCTCATAGTTCAAAGAGTAGTTCGGTAGGTCATCTCAAAGTTGAACACAAAACTCATGCTAATTTTTGGTCTCTAGCGAGGATATTCAAACCTCGTTCTTGGAGGTGGAAGCATTGGTTATTGTATGCCTCCTTCCACAGAATGCGGTGTGACGAAATCTCCTGGAAACCTCAAAGTGCCTAATGGGATAGCACTCGGCCATGACAATTTACTCTATGTTCCTTCATCGATCTCCGGTCAAATCCAAGTGTTTTCCTTGGAACCAGAACAACGTCTCCGAAAAGTCGATACTATCAATCTCCCATATCCGATCAATGATATAAGTGTCGACAAGAACGGAGATATTTACGCCGCCACTGTACCTGCCTTGCATAAAACAATCAAAAACTCACAAAATATAGAGGCCAATGTTCCAACCGCGGTGTTTAGGATCATCAAATTAGGCGAGATGGGCGAGGGAGAAGGATGGGGTTGGAATGTGGTTAAAATGATGGAAGATGACGGGAACACTTTACCAGCTACCACGGTTGCAGTTCACGATACCCAGACTGGTAAAATGTTCCTAGGTGGCGTGTTGGATCCTTTCATTTCGATATGTGAAAGAATAAACGGAGAGAGCTTTAGTGCATATATGGAAATATTGAACTTCTAATAGACTATTAATTGATCACCCCATTCGAATAGCAGGTTCCCACATTGGCTACACGCTCCCGTTACCAATTGCAGCTCTCTAACTGGTCAATTTTATTCAGAAAACCGAGTCAAATAATAGCTTACTTCAATATGCTGATGAAAATCTAAGTGCCAATAAAGTCTATCAAAACTCCAGAATCTTAGAATCACTCTCACTCTGTGCTCTTCGCCATGTCCTCAACTAAAATCTTGTACAGCACGGGAGTTTGATATATACTAGAGCTGGTTAACAAATGTGGTGGCTGGGTAAAACTGCTGGCAAGTATATCACATGCGTTTGACCTTCCCAGATGAATTCTTTCTATGATCCCAATGTTTCAATTGATGAGCTCGCGCGATGGTAGCCAGTTCTTGCTCTCATGATTCAGCAAGCAATTCAACAGAAGTGATGTAGCACTAACACTTGCAAAATCTTCATGCTTTGAGGTAGATTATCGTAACAGGCCTCTTGGTTTATCCTGAGGCCTCTCGAATCTGCGAATCGCAACATTTTTTCCAAAATTCGGCCCTAGGTGGACTTTCCCGAATTATTGAGTACGTCGAAAGAGACATAACGATTACATACTAACGGGGCAGGAAACAAGTAAACTGAATGTGGAGAAGTAGAAAACTATTCTATATGATTGGCTTGCTGGGCATCATTCAAGCACAGTTTTGCCCGATACTGAGTAATTTATCGCCATGTTTGTCTTACTTATGAGTATCCGCAAAAGAAGAAGCATTGGTAGAATTCCAATTCTGAATATTGGGTGTCGTTCATTAGCACGGACAGAGTATCTTGTGCCATCTATTATACAAACCTGTTTCTAGCTCCACCACACCCACCACACTCCTTCTATAGGTTCCCGTATCGTCTGCCCAAGCCTTGATAAACCATGATCGACATCGTATGGTTACCA